AGGGTAGAGTAAAGGGAAATGACAATATGATATACTATGAAATTGCATTTAAGAATATGGTAAACCTCATAAGAGAGAAAAAATCATTTTTAATAAAGCAGTAGTAAGACATGGAACTATAATCGTTCTATACTATAATCACTACTGCACTGTAATTGAAAATACTACTTCATTTCCTTTGAGATAGAAAAGTAAGAAAATAACTGTGCATTCACCCTGTAAATACAGGGTAGAATTCATTATGTATAACAAATTAATAATTACTCTCAAAACCTACTCCACATAATAGAATAAAAAAATAATCAGTCACGTACTCGATTTCCCCATGGCTTTTAGTTATTGACTGTAAACAATTATGTGTTAGAATCATTAAAAACTATAGACTGGAGAGGGATTATGGAGACTATTTAATATAACCTGCTTATAGGATTCACTACTCCCAGAAGTAGACAACTCCTTTCTTAGTACAGCAGCAAACTTTCCCATTGGCAAAGATCTTAACACCTAGTGAAAGTCTGCCTTATTACAACTTTCTTCAGTTAAAAATTATTTTGAACCTTGGACACAGAGAAAGTTGAGTATTGTTTCTACCTGACAGTTTTAAAGATTTGAAGTATGATAATAATCATGACCCTGATAAATCTCATTCCCAAGCTCTATAATGCCAGTTAGTTGCTAGAAGTAGAACTAATTTGATGGGTGCTCCAAAACGAAGGTTTCCTGTCTTTGGACACCATATTCAATGAAAGCAATCTAAAATTGTATGTTATTCAGCAGCTGAATCACAGTGTTTCAATAAAATTCCAACATTTGTTGAATATGTATTCACTACAGGACATTCAGAAATGAGTAAAATGGAAGCTCTGTCTTTAGGTGACAATCACACAAATAACTGCGAAATAAGGTGAGTGCCACATGAAAAATACAAAATAATTGCATGTGATGGACATATAGTAATCAAGGGCGTTTCTTTTGAAATGTTATAAAAACAGATTTCTCTTGGCCAGCACCTTAATATTTAAATTTGATTTGATGCTGAAAGCTGGATATAATATTTATCCCTGTTTATAGGATCATTTATAATAGTAAATATTGGAAACAACCTAATGTCAGTATATGATGATTTAAATAAATTATGGTATATGAATGTGATAGCATATTGTACATATTTCAAATATTTTTAATGTCATTGGAAAATGTTTACATTATATTACTGAATAAACAATGCAAGATATAAACATTACTAGTTATTTTTTGACAGAGAAAGTACAGATAATACTCTACACTATATATTTC